AAGCCTTTGGAGTCGTACTCTGTCATTACGTAGAAGAGGAAAGGGTCTGTGTCGTAATACAACGTCTTGTGGTCGAGGAAACACTTTGCGAGTAAACACAGGTTCTGGGAATAGTTCTGGAAAAATATAAAAATATGTATTAACCACAAATAAACAACAATAAATATCTGGTAAATAAAAAAGAAAGAAAGAAAAGAAGCATCACATCACTAACTTTGTTTTTCCTGCCGTCGATTTCAAAGAATGAGATGGTGCCTTTGCGGTAGATCTCATTGCCTGGAGGATGCCTTAGATTACATTTGGTCTGAAAAAATAAATAAATAAAAAATAAACCTAACAACACAAGCAATGTCAAACAATCCAAGAAGCACAGATTTCCGGTGTAAGCTGTTAACATAACCAAGGTTTAGAGAACAAAAGTCTTACCAAATGCCTCTGAAGACACTTGAGGCTTTTGAGGTACTTGAGACAGAATTCACAGAGGTAGAGGATGGGCAGCGAGGTGAGTTCCTGTGGGTATGGAGAGAAGTACCAAGGCTTCAGTCTGTGCCGTCCCAGCTCTATACACTCAATGTTCTTCATCCGGGTGACGATGTCGTCATGGCTGCGATCGGACACTAAACTGCCTGTCATGCGGGGTGCAGTGGGAATGCCATCTGAGCTGTCCTGGGAATCCTGGTGGTACAAAATGTGAACATTACACAGATGACACAATTATGCAGCGGTTATTCTCAAGTGCTTCAAATGTGTTTGAACAAAAAGCTGATTGATCCCAGATTTCTTTAACAACAACAACAAAAAAAGGTAATATGATTAATCAGAGTACATGTTTAGTCCAGAAAGACTAAACTTGGGTCTGAGGTAAGCAGCACCTCTGATTTATTGGACCCACTAAGGCACAGTTGAATTTGGAACGCAACACACAATCAACGGGCAATAATAGGAAATTAAACAGACCTCTGGTGGTGGTAGAAAGACACTGGCACTTTGAGGCTTGTTATACTGCAAAACCTTTATCATCTAGCAGAAAAAGACACAAAAACACAGGCTTTAGGACACTAAAAGGGGAATAAAGTGATTTTTATTGACACTGAACAGGTTAAGGGCCAGACTGAAAGCATTCTGGTAAAATCCAGGCTGGCTGCATGAGGAGCCCGTCAGCTTTGACTGGTGATCATAATCACAGAGACAGACATGTTAGACAGTGAATGAAGAGTGGGGTAAAGAACAAACACAAACATTCATCTCATGTGGATTTGACAGATTTGTTAATGTTTATGAAGAACCTAATGGCTACTGTCATCACCGCTGATGTGAGAGCACTTCAGGTTGGCATAAAACATGAGAGTACAGCAGCGTACATGTAGCTTGATGGACCCTCAAAAGCAGCAAACGCTGAAAATGTTTTGTCAAACAACGTCTTTGAGACAAAATTACAATTACAGGCTCCTGGTAAAATGTGGTGTCAGGATTCTTGGTCAGATTCATTTAAATAGGATAGTTTTGTTTTTTTAAAGCGCCACACATCAACTCAAACATAGACCCACACAGGAGAATGAATGAAATGCTCATTGAATATTTTAAAAAGCTGCAGAATTTAGCCAGAGCTGATGCTGAAAAATAAAAATATATGAAAGCACAACATACAGTCCTCAATATTTGCCAGCATATAATATGTTACTGTGGCCATTAGCTAGAATGAAATGTATGACAAAGTAATCAAACAACCTAAATATAAATAAATAAAGAGTAAGTTCTTTTTCAGGAGGGTCGTTAAGCCAACAAGCCATAACTAAATAGCTGCAAATGTAATTCCCTGCTTTAAACACCACAATAAACATGAGCTAAGAACACATCAATACATAAAAACACACTAATGAATTGTTTTGTGGTGGTCAGAAGGGAAACAGCGGGTGAGAAATGAAAAGGGAAACACACACACACACACACACACATATATATATATGAAGGGTAAAGACAGGCGAAAGCAATCTTTAAAAAAACCAAAACATTTTCATCATTATGATTGCACATGGGGTTTATAAACAAATACATGAGAGCAATAATTTATCACATTTGAATCCTGTGCAGTGATGTTGACATTTTATATGGGTACAGACAAAGTTTTTTGGGGGGATAGCGTTTACTCTTTTCCTTATTTTCTGTCGTATATGCACACCTTTACAGATGTGGATGGTCAGAATAAATTTGGCCAGAGTTCAAAAAGTCAACATATGTACAAGTAATTGCTGTAAGGCAAAAGCTCACAATCTGCTTCAGACAGTTTTTCTACTCTTACATCCACGTGATGAGAGCGGCATTCCTAAGGATATCCATGAGCTAGTCATCATGGAGACCTCGTCCACCTGCTGCTCAAACATTTTTTTTGCAAGGAGCAGCCAATCAAAAGAAAGCGGACTTAAACAGAGGAGAAACGAGGCTAATAATTCTCATTCCGGACAGAGGATGAACTCAGGGGCTGCACCAGGGCCCCATACAGGATACGTAAGCATTATTTTGAACTGTGAATCATGCAAAGCTACTTTTAAAAAGTCCAAGAATTAAAATATGGTGCTGGAAATAAGCACAATAGGTCCCCATAATAAAACAAATATGTCCTATTACAACAGTATGGACCTTGTGCAAGAACCGTGCACCAGTCTGAATGAATGTCACCAGCTGCACCGGAGAATGCTCCAGTGAGCGGACTGTGACGCTTTGCAAAATGCATTCTAATACAACTCCACAAAACCCAATACAGAAACTCTTAACAAATTCAAAAACCGAAGCGAATAACACGACCACAAACATGCAGTAGATCAAGGTAACGTACCTCGTCAGTTCCCCCACAATTAGCTTTTCTTTTCCTCCCAGGTGGAGCGGGGATGAGTCGTCGGGCGTTGCCATTCTGTTGTGAGTAGGACATTAAAAGATATTCATTAGCAAATAGGAGAAAGAAAAAAAAAAACAAAAGAGAGAGAATTTAGGAGGATTTTCTTTACCGTTGTGAGCTCATGGTCTTCACGGGACTTAAAGGTGGGCGTCTCTCTCACGGCAGGAAAAACAGCTGCCTGAGTGGCTTCAGCTGAACTTGGCAGGGAGGGCACAGGGATGACCGGGGGTACCTGAGGAGCCACGGGGGCAGGCTCTACTTTCCTCTTCTGCAGCAAACAAACAGTGTTAGAGATTCAGCTTTAAGATTGAATACAAACAAACCAAACAAAGGTGAATTTGATGGGATTTTTTTTTTCATGTCAACTTGATCAGAGGCTTGATTAAAAGCCGGGGACTCCATCTGTATTCAATGAAGAGTGACATCTTGATATCAAGATGCTTTTTCAGCAGTTTGTATGCAGACAGAACTAAGACTGTGCATCTTTAATAGCCACAGCAAATCAATTTATTTCTCCAAATCTCAGATAATTTGCAGGTTAACCAATGTAAATACACCCCATTAAACCTGGTATTAAATGTGATGGCAACAGATGGGCTTCACTTCCTATTATAAATCTTCACTCTATATTAAACGTTACTTTACCTTATAGCTCTGTATAGCTTTATATTCCCATGCAGTGCAACATTAACAGTGGGACCATCACACAAGAATCACATTGACACCAGGTTTAAAAAGGTCTCAGTAATTTGTGGAGTGGGTGAATTCTACTTGTACCGGCGTGGGGAGGGTTTTGCCTCTGGAAGGAGCTGTGGCAGTTTGTACGTTGAGATCTAGACTCTTCCTCTGAATTGAACGGAAAGGAAGAGAAGGAAGCGGGTTAACACTGGGATAATTCATGTTAACCCTCAGGTTAATACTGAGGAATTCAATTCACACAAAATCCGACTAAAGGTTTAATCATAAAACGAGAGTTTCACCGTTTCAGTGGCATGTGTTTGATAAAGAAGTATTAACACAGAAATGTAAGACTGAAAAAAGAGGATATTGATATTTTGTTAAAAACAGGGTATAACATAATGCCCTTTTATTTATCTATATTTTTATTGTTATTATGGCTGCATTTCTTGTGGGTAGACTGTTACAAATCAGTGCTCAAGCAGCATAAAGCACACTGCAGCTTATTAAAGTGACCATGGAAAGCAGCGCTTATACCATGCATCAATGGAAGTGAACAGCAACAAACATGAAATTTACCATCATGCAGGTTTTTCTACAAAATGAATAAAAACCACACAACACAGAAATTAAGACTGACATCATTTCTTAATACTGTGAGAATTATAATTACATTGCTTTAAATGACACGTGGACTCCTTACCACTTCTCTCTCTCTCTCTCTTTCTCGCTCTCTTTCTCTCTCTCTATCTCTCTCTCTCTCTGGAGAACTAGGACGGGAACCTGAAAGACCGTTCTTGGTTGGTGTTTTAGCATCTTTCTTGGGGAACTGAAGCTTCTTCATGTCCAGCCTTTCTGTTGTGACCCACTCATCCAGACGTTTGTTGACTTAAACACACAGACAAAGAGAGAGCGAGTGGTGATTTGATGTGTGAAGATATTTAGCTCATAGCATGACAGGAAAAGGTGGGTGAAAAAAATAATAATAATCAAAAGCTATGTGATACAAAGCTATAATTCTGAATTGATCCAAATATGACAAAAAAAAAATCAATAAATTATAATTATATATATAATTATAAATACAAATCTGCTTTGCAATCTTTGATAATAACTTAATAAAAAAATCTTAAAAGGTGTAATTAGCTTTGGTGTATGTTGACTAAACTGGGGCTGTGAATCAAATCTTGACAAAAACCAAGACAACTGACACAAAATATACTCACAGTCAATGTAGTGAACATAGTAGAGCTTTCTGCCAGAAACTTCCTTCACACTCAGGATTTCAGCCAGTGCTGTACAAAGCAGAGATGTCACATTTTATCTGAACTGTACTCAAATGAAGACGATCGTTGTGATGCTTTTCTATGAAACACTGTAGCTTTAACACACTTAACATTAAATACACAGGCATGTGATAAAAGTACTGTTTACATTCCAATGCTAAAAATAAACCAAAGGTGCACAAAATCTACTTTAATGTGAGATTTATATGTCCTATAATGTAATTATTTATGCTGAGGTATCAGGATTATAAAGTCTAAGTGCAATGCCCAATTAAATTTGGTTTAAATACCATTTGTGCTTTAATTTTTTTTGTTGTTGTTGTTAAAAAGTAATGTGTTAAAAAAGATTACTATGGACCAAACTGAGTGCCAAGAGAGTAAGAGCGATAACCTGAAAAAAATCGCTCTCAAATTTGTAAACATCACTGATGCCACCTGCATTTAGTACTTTTTTTCTATAAAACGTGAAACTAAGTAAAATTAAGAGTTGGCAATTTAATTTCCGAGGGAGTGGCAGCAGTTTTCTTAAGTCTTCCAATTTAATTCATTCACACTTTACAGCAGCATGCACCATCCGTGGCCATGGTGTTTACAGCGCTTTAACTGGAGGCCGGGGCTTCTGGTAACAACAGCTGAGCCGAGCTCCTTAGCATTAGCTTAGCATATAAAAAAAAACGGACAATACTTACGCCATTCGTCTTCGTGTTCTTGGTTTTTACGAAGAACCGGGAGGCGACAGCCCTCCACAATCTCGACCTGTAAATAACAACACATTTATTTATACTCTGAAACCGGTCAATGTGCCTATATTAACATTATATCTTTCTTAAGCCTACCGACGATGAGTTGTCCGCCATTTTCGTCATCTGTGCGAGGGGGAGCGGGGTGTTGTGGGAAAATGCCGGTCCACAGCAAAGATGAAATATACGGCAAGATGAAACTTCCAGAAGGAGCCGCGGAAAACAAACCCGGAAGCTAAGCGAGGGGGTGCAGGGGTGCGGGTTGCTAATGTTTCTGAGTCGATTCACTTGGCATAAAAGTGTGAAAACTAAAGGTAAAATACATTTTTTTAAACTTTATTTTTTGTTAAGTAACTAAAACCAATGGAGGATTGTTTCCACCTCTAAAAAACTAGTCAAAGCTAGTCAAAATGTTATTTATCTCAAAATTTCGACTTAGCAACGGGAAGTCCCCCCCCAAGTTTTGAGTTCTTTTCTCAGAAGTTTTGAGATGATAACCTATAATTTGGACTAATGGACTGCTGTTTATTTATTTTTTAGTGGAAAAAGAAAGCTACTATATGATCATAACATCTACCAAAAAGCTAACCAAAATAACACAATAATTTTTTAATCGTTAGTTTTTGTCAATTTGGTTACATTTGTCAACATAACTGGCATTAACCAGTATGTCTACTGATACGGGGCTATCATTATGACTGAAAGCCACATGTCCGTATCAGAACATTGTACTGATCTTAAATAATCACACAGGTACTAATTAAAAGATTAAAACAGTAGCATGCACACTGTGGAAACTAACGGAAACTAAACTGAGCTGAAAACAATAACGTGTTCAACTACCTTGAATTATTTCATTTTATTGTTATTTTTACTTAGTTTATTCAATTGCTTTTTGCACTGTTTTAAATTTATTAACCAGGTATGATTTGATTATATAGCATTACTTTGTTTGAGAAGAAGTGACCCCTTTGTTTTGATTACTAATATCTTGTCCCTTTAATTAGATGTTTTACCATCATCATAAAGTAACCTTGCGTCACATGCTTAGTTATGGGGTCAGCTCTTTTTGAGGTCCACATTAGAAACCTGAGAAACATCTGTGCACTTACTGCCTGGTAAGGCACAGTCCAGTGAAGTTATTGCAACCTCCACCATTCTTTTCTAATGAACTTCTTGAGCCACATCTGCATTTCACTGTCATTAAATGCTACAATTGACTGCATCCTTGATCAGGGCCTATCTGCAGCTGGCTGTGTAAGAGTTTATTATGAGGTGTTTTTGAACATCATCTTCACTGTGTGGTGATAGGCAATACTCAGAGAGCCCTCCAAGCATTGAAACACCAGCTGCACTTTACAGAGCTGTAACAGCAGAGAGCTGTGTTATCATTCTCTGTCTTTATCTTTCAAGGCCATGTAGTTCATTAAATAAAGCTTCAGTGGGAGTTGAAGAATATTAATGCTGTGCCTCTACCACTTTTATGTGTTTTATTTATATTTCAATGCAGGTAAGAGTTCATGGGATATCAGGCCTGCTGGGATCGCCAAGCCTACCTAATGAGTTTCATCTCTGACCAGTTTATCCAACAGTGAAACACATTAGAATTTCACACTAGCAGTTACCTTCAATGACCCCATTATTCTGAGTACAGTCGTGAAGTCTAACTTGCCTTGCTTTTTCAGTTTCCTGGATTTTAGGTGAGCAAAGTGGCAGGCAGCTCCTTTACTAGCTATAATGCTGCCTTATTGGCCAGCGAGCTTGCTGATTTGTCTCAAGGTGCTAGCGCAGAGCCTTATCATCTTCAAGTTATTACAGTCCGTTCTGAGGCTGTGCAAAACTCTCAAAGAACTTGGACAGTTAAAAACACTCTTTATGTTTTCAGTGTAACCTCCCTCTCACCCCATCAAAGCTGGGACAGGATCCAGCCCCACTACACGTCTAAACTGGATAAGCAAAAGAAAATGAAGGAGTATCCTCTCTCTTCATGCTTTTTCATGTATTTTCTCTCCATTTTAAAAAATGAGAGTAGATTAAGTCTGAAATCTAGCTTCCTATTCAGACCCAACTAAATATTTTCCCAGTGAATGTAGAAAAAGAGCGTTTATGTTGAAGCTGCTTTTCTTTTGTCACCTTCTGCTGAGATGAGGAACGTAATTTATGACTGAACTGCTTCACCACTCTGGATAAACCCATTATGTACATCTGTGGAAACACTTCAGCCCCTCTCATCCTGCTACATTGTGCCTCTCTGCAATTACTGCCCTCCAAGTCAACAGGACTGGGGAGCTTTGGAGCTATAAAATGTGCAATAAAATGTGGAAATCATTTTCTGGTTCTTCCTGATGTTTCCTGCACGCCCCTCAGCTTTATGATTTATGTTTTAAAGCACACCCGCTCTTCTTACCAGGGCTAGTAGCCCTAGCTAGAGTGTATTTGAAAAAGCTGTTTCAAGAGGTTTTTGCATCAGTAGATGGCACGAAACAGCAGCCGAGCTACTACTGGGTTACCTAAATGCCTCTAATGTAAATTTAAAGCTAAACGAGTCTCATGAATGCTCATGATGAGTGTACTCCTGAGCACTGGAAAGAATCACAAATAATTAAGTGTTTGCTACTCTTCAGTGTATAAATATGGTTATGGAAAAAGTATCAGCGATCAGTGTCCGATCAAATCATCTCACAAAGAAAGGGTAAAGGTTATAAATGATCTTTAATATAATCCTCGGAACAGCGTTCAGTATACAGAACTTGCATTTTTTTTTAAAATCAGAAATTAAATTCTAAGCGGAAAATTAGATAAAACAACTACCTCTAATCCCATCACACATTTTTAATAAGACAGTCCAAGCTTTCTGTAGGGATAGCCTGCATATTACTCTTTACTATGCGAGTGCACAATAAGCCCGGTGGCTTCTTATGAGCAAACGGATGAAGCTGTGAAATGATTTTGCAAAGTGATAAAGAGACTGCGCAAACAGTGTGATGTCACCACGCGTTCAAGTGATATTGCATCCTGCAATTTCACTTCCACAGCTACTTCATAACGCTTACACATATCTCACATCTTCCCGTACCGCATTTATAATCAGCTAATCAGTGATTCTACCAGACAAACTGACTATACTACAGACTTTGTTAATGTGTCCTCAGAGCACTTATTTTGGTCAGAAAATTAATGGTAATATTGGACACTGCATGCACATTATGGGGGAGAAGAAGGGAGACTTGTTTTCGTCTTTGGTGCCACGGGCCTTAACATCTAAGCCCCAAACTCCCCCAGACTGTCCAGTTACTTGATGACTGTTTATTGGTTGGCGTTGGAGTTGCAGTTAAGTTTCTGCTTCCAATTTAGAGAAACTTAAAACACATATCATCTGTTTTTGTAGGAAAATTGAGTTTAAACACCTTTTATTTCATTCCATGCATTTTTTCTGTAATTATCCTGATATTAGAATAAATGTTATGATCCCGCTTAAATCACTCTGACAATCCATTTCCCTACATTAGCTTTTGTCACTGAACACAAGCAACGAAAGCAGTACAACAACAAAAAAACCCTCTGATTTCAGCGTCACATTTCATGTAATTAGTCTCACAGAGTTGCCTTTGTGTGGTTATTGCACATAATAGAACCGGTAAGAAGAACATAAACCTTATAAACTGCAGGAGGTTTCATAAACATCACGATGTGAACTATTGCTATTAATCACAGCCATCTCTGTGCTGAACAGCGAAGCAGATTAGTGATTAGTGATCTGCTCTCCAATCCAGCTGCTTCCCAAAGAGACTGCGAACCTCTTTAGCTACATAATGACATATTTGGCTCTCTGTTCTGTATCCCTGCCTTCTTCCATCCAAGACGTCTCGTACATTCGCCTCTTTCCACTCCTGATCGTGTCATCTTTAATCCGCACTAGTGACGCACACGTGACTCCAGATGTTCTAAAAGAAATGCTCACTCGAGAGCGGAGGATTCGCATCTCCTCAAACGTGGCGGGACAGATATGTTTGGATGAGGAAATAAAACCACTGTCCCATACTCTAAAATTTAATATCTCATAAATTTCAGTCCTAAGATGATCATGCAACATCCATGTGCCGTTTTCTTTCCCCCATTGCACTTTCAAGCAGCACTCGTCTTGTAGGTTTAAAAAAATAAAACTAAATACAAATAAATAAGAAAAAACAATAAAGATACACTGAAAAGTGCAAATGTACATTTGTTTACAGCATGACATACTCACTGTACAATCATTGGTTATATACTCACATTATTTGAAGTATTATAATAAGGATTACTAAGTAGCATAGTTGGAGTAAGAAATATTTCATAGCAAGTCTATTGGAAAATATTTGCATTGCCGTGTGACTAGGAGAGGCTCTTCTAAACATTGCCATGGTGATGTGTGTGTGTGTATGTCTGTAATGTACCTGTGTGTGTGTGTGTGTGTGTAAGAGAGAGAAATAGAGAGCCAGTATGTAGATATAAGGTGTAGTGTATGTGCAAACAAGGAAGCAGAGAAAACTCAAATCATTCTAGTTCAGAGGCACAAAAACCGCCCAGCCAGCATTTCAAGTATCTAACATTGTTTTGAACAACACGCATCTGTCAGACATCAGCAAAGCAGAGAGAAAGAGGAGGAAAGGAGGAGAGGACTTCCTCTTTCAGCTCAGGGAGGAGGCAGCTAAAGAGTCATACGAGTGGAAACAAGCATTTCAAAGAACTGTGTCAAAAGAGCGACACTGATTAGACAAACAACACTTTTTCTTCTTCTTCTTCTTCTTCTTCTTCTTTTTTGCTATTTTTTAGCCATAATATATTCTATTGCACTTCACCTAAAATGCTATTCTGTCTGCGATGAAGACGGCCCACTGCATCAGGCTGCAAACAGCTTACTCGCTTTCACGTGTCGCTCCCAATTCACTCAATGCTTCCCGGGTTGTGGCAGAAGCAAACACGTGCAGGAGCAAGTAAGGAGTCGTTAGGGCCGGATGCGGGGCGAATCCATGTCAGTCTTTGTATAAGACACATTGCTTAACATATTCACAAGCTCTTCATCCGAGGCAAAGTGTCCCATCACTGTGAGCGCTGGGGCAGAAGGCCTGCGAAAAATGATCCTCGCTGGAGACAGACAGCGAGGAGAGTCATCCACTGGCAGTCGATTTCTGTTCCATAAAGACAAGTCGCCACGTCGTGCATTTTGGTAAGGATACCTGACAAGATTATCCTACAGGAGAGAGAGATGAGCCCCCAAAAAAGGCTTCCACTTTTCTGTTGGCTAGAACAGAGGATCTGACTTGAAATCACGTTTCAGGGTCATCTTGATGGCTGCTGTTCTTTGTGTCAATTAAGCAGATTCTGGTGTGGGCCTTGAAATACCTTTTAGGCACTGGATTAAGATGCTCCAAGTTACAAACACTTT